GCGCGTGCCCCGAGCTGGTGCCGCGCGGCGCCGAGGCGGGCTACGTGGTGAGCAAGGTGGTGGCGGTGGACGGCGACTCGGGCCGCAACGCGTGGCTGTCGTACGAGCTGCTGCAGGCCACGGAGCCCGGGCTGTTCGGCGTGTGGGCGCACAGCGGCGAGGTGCGCACGGCGCGGCCTGTGAGCGAGCGCGACGCGCCGCAGCAGCGGCTGCTGGTGCAGGTGCGCGACCACGGCGAGCCGCCGCTCTCGGCCAGCGTGGCGCTGCACGTGCTGCTGGTGGACGGCTTCTCGCAGCCCTACCTGCCGCGGCCCGACGCGCCGGCGGGGCAGGCGGGGCAGGCGGGGCAGGCGGGGCAGGCGGGTGTGGGAGGTTTGGGGGGCGAGGCTGGGCAGGCGGAGGCGCTGACGGTGTCGCTGGTGGTGGCGCTGGCGGCGGTGTCTTCTCTGTTCTTGGCGTCTGTGTTGGCGCTGGTGGCCGCGCGGCTGTGTGGGCGCGGCGGGGCCGGGGCTGGGGCTGTGGCGGTGGGGTCAGGGTGTGGGGTGTCTGTGGCCGAGGGCCGCTTCTTCCCTGCCGGGGCTGGGTGTGGTGGTGTGGGTCCTCTGGTGGACGTGGGCGGGGCGGGGACGCTGTCGCAGAGCTACCAGTATGAGGTGTGTGTGAGTGGAGGGAGTGGGACTGGTGAGTTCAAGTTCATGAAGCCGATTATTCCCAGTTTATATGGCAACAACGCAGAATCAGCAATGGAAGAAAATCCAAACATTACGAATGACTTCGCGGACTTCAACTTCTTGAAACCAATTATCCCTAACGTACCTTCCCAGAGCACTGAAACAGAGGAAACCCCCCCTTTCTAAATAGATCATGGTTTGATCACTGATCTGATTATGAGGATTAATTTTTTAGATTTACTCTATTTCCTAAAATTTTTGTCCCTTGTGCACTGTTTTCTTTTGGTGACTTCATTGTCCTTTCGAATTTTTCAGAAACTTCAGTTATTTGACTGTTTCTATGTTCCTTTTATTGTGAATAAATTAAGCTAGTATTGTCTTAGTGTTTGCTTTGAGAATCAGCCTCCAAGTAATTACTCATGTATGTATCATTTTCCCCTTCAAGTTTTTATGCATGTGGGCTTAGTTGTACTTTCTCACTTTTCTGGCTGTGAATTCTTAGATCAAACCGGATTTTTCACTATAATGGAAAAGCATGATGTGAATAAAGACACAGTAGCTTGTTATCTGCTTGAGTTAATTTTTAAGATGCTAATATTTTACATGTTAAATATTACAGACTTTTTTGTACACTTCTGAATTTTCTTTCATAAATAGTTTGTGCTTATATGTATCATTGCAGATATGGGTTTAATATGACAAATTCAAAGCTTAGTTTGATTATGATATAGTTCCAGCCTTTGTTCTTTTCTTGTCGGAGAGCATTTATTACCCAACAGAAGCAATCACAAGTGACATTGTACTCTACTTCTCCTGTCCATTTTAACTGGTTCTGAGGTTAAACTGCTAATTTAAAACTACCAATTTAGAGTCACTCTCCAAGCTCTTACATTTATGTTTAAGATACAGTTCCTCTAGCTTTCCACTTGATTGCTTGTAATAAGGGAACAGATGCTAAGTGTGGTGCTGAGGTAGCCATGTTTGTATCTCTGTAACCAGTAAACAGAAGAGCTGAGAGAGGGAGGGAAGCAGAATGAGTGGGGAGTAAGTGAGGCAGAAGTTTAGAAAACAACCAAGGACCTTGTTGGTGTAGTCTAGTGGCTAAATCCTTGCTGGGATCCTTATGGATGCCAGTTTCTGTTTCAGCTGCTCTATTTCTCATCCAGCTCCCTGCCTGTGGCCCAGGAGAGCAGTAGAGGACAGCCCAAAGCTTCGGGACTCTGCATCCATCTAACTCGGCTCCAGCCATTGCAACCACTTAGGGAGTGTATCAGCAGACAGAAGATCTTTCTCTGTCTCTCTCCTTTTCTCTGTATAGATTCCTGCCTTCCTAATAATAATAATAATAATAAAACAGCTGACTGTGATCTAGCTACCAGTTCTAGACCTCCTAGTTCCTGATTCTAGTTCCTCCAAAGTGCCCAGTGTCTAGTTGCTTTGTGTTCTGCAGGAAGACTTTAGTTCTCAACAGCAAAATTTCTTTAACCTATATTGGAGATTTCTTGAAAGCAATTGATGTGAAAGATGTATTCAACCTTGATTACTCAGATTATGTACCATCAAACCCTGGTAACTTATGCTTCTAATATTCATCAATGAATATAAGATTACAATCTCAATGATTCCTCATTCACAGTAAAGAATTTTGAAACATTTAATTTTTTAAAAGATTTTTTTACTTTTATTACAAAGTCAGATACAAAGAGAGAAGGAGAGACAGAGGGGAAGATCTTCCATCCAATGATTCACTCCCCAAGTGAGTGTAACGGCTGGTACTTTACCAATCCGAAGCCCGGAACCAGGAACCTTCTCCAGGTCTCCCACATGGGTGCAGGGTCCCAATTCTTTGTGCTATCCTTGTCTGCTTTCCCAGGCCACAAGCAGGGAGCTGGATGGAAAGTGGAGCTGCCGGGATTAGAACCGGCGTTCATATGGGATCCCGGCGCGTTCAAGGCGAGGACTTTAGCCGCTAGGCCACACCGCCGGGCCCAACAACATTTAATTTTACGAATAATCTAAATAACTGATAGGATCGTCCAACAGCAAAATGCAACAATTTTGTAGAATGTCTTATTAACTTGGGGTTCCCTTTATTATATTACCTTTCTCAAAATTATTTTTTGTCTTTTTGTTTTTCTCAAAATTATTTTTAAAAAGTAGAACTGAAATTGTTCTGGTTTGTACCTTTACCATGCTTTAGCAGATTCATTCTTTTAGAAATTATTTATTAAAAAAAAAGAAATTATTTATTAAATTCACTGTGAACTGAATTATTTCATTACTCAGTGAAAATCTTCAGACTTTATAAATAATCCTGATTTATATATAATGTCGGTAATTTCTGATTTTCATCATAGGAACAAATATTATTTGATTGACCTGTACTCCATTACTAGAGAATCTCATAAAACTTTCATTCAGGCAGGTCTAGAAAATCTTAGAAAGGAGAAAAGTGTGTCTGAGAGATGAAAATAGGGGGTTAAAAGCCAACTTTGATCCATTAGCTTTCTGATACAAGTACTAACTACTTTCCCGTTACTGTAAGAAAAAGAAATTCATGGGTGTTTAGGGGACATTTTCTTAACTCCCTAGTGAAGAACTTGGATCCATAACCAAGATCTGTTTTTAAGAAAAACTGCCCATCAGATTTTAACTGTGAGCTCCATGTTCTCACAGTTTGAAGTATTAAATGTCTTTCACTAGGTGGAAGGAAACAGTCCAAAGTACAGTAATGATCTGAGTGAGTTGTACCTTGGTGGAATTAAACCAACCAGAAATGCTATTCTTATAACTGTCTCACACTAAGTTTTCATAGGCAGCCAGGTAATTAAGATGCCAGAAGTCATGATAGTGTCTGTTATTTGAGTTATATTGTTAAAGCATTAGCTGGGGCCAGCATTCTGTAATCGTGAAACCATTGCCTGCAACACAGGCCTCCCATATGGACTGCAGTTTGAGTACTGGCTGCTCCAGCTCCCTGATAATACACCTGTGAGGCAAGGGATGATGACCTAAGTTCTTGTGACCCTGTGCCAATGTGAGAGACCCAGATGAGGCTCCTGGCTGCTGGCTTTGGTCTGGCCCAGCCCTTGCTATTGCCACTGTTTGGAAAGTGAACCAATGGATGGAATACCTCTCTGTCTCTCCTTCTACTTTTGTAACTCTGCTTTTCAAATAAGTAATTTTTAAAAATTACCTAAAAGTTGGTATCAAAAAAAAAAAAAAAAAAAAACAACTTCCCACTCCCAAGATGTTCTTTCTCTCCTGAGGAGTAAAAGAATTTGACCTCTCTATGAAGGTGTGATGATCCTAAGCAATCCACAAAAAGATATGAGTTACTTAGTAAGAATGAGTTTAGAAGTTTACTATTTGGGAGTAAGTTTTAGCTCCTGTTTTAGATTAATGTTAGATATTGCTGCCCTCCTCCCCTTTTTTACTCTTAGCTTCAGGCTTTATCTCTGTGGTCTTGGTTATTTCCCTCTTCAAGACTTCTGTAAATTTCAGGTTTTAGTAGTTGATATATATGCTCTTTAGCAACTGGTTTCGATCATGTAACACATCAGTGTAACAAGCTCAGAGGCACAGTCAGTGCTTATACAATATCTACAAATAAGTTAACAAACTCCTCAAAACTGTTTATTGAGTTCGTAACACGTAAGTTCTAGTTGGCTTGTCAATTGAATTTATACTCTGAAAGTATCTTTACCTATTGTGCAGTAATTTAAGAGTTTAATGGTGTATCTTTGCACTTCAAGAATAGGTTGATAAATGCCATTCTCCCTAAAACACTCAATAAATAACAAAGTAGACATTACATTGTAAGTTCCATTAAATTAGAGAAGGGACTTGTAATCACAGCTGGTGCAAAGAGAAAACCAATAAGTATTTCTTGAACAAACAAATATTAAAGGAATTTAATAGAGTTCACAATAAAACTGTGTTGAAAGATAAGCTTATTTTGTTTTTTTTTTCATAATATGTACTTTTTTACAGAATCTTTTCAAGATACCACATAGTAAATTTGCATTTGCATCATTTCCCAAAGTGTCTGATCAAAACACCTTCTAAATATAATCCACGGTGGATTTTTGTTTGTTTTTGCATAAATCTAAGTGAAATATTGAAGTTTTGTAGCAGTTAACATTAGACTTACATGCGACGCATGGTGGCGCTATAACATAAGGTTAGAGAATTTCTGTTCTGGCAGCCATAAGTAGAAGAGGCTTTCTTAACCCCTGATTGCTTTCCGCGAGGATTCATTCCCAGAACAGTTTGCGTGCAGCCACAAGCGGAGTATCCGGATCGCCAGAGGCTTCTGCTTTTGGAGAAATGGAGGCTGAAGTAGAATGTTTTCCCAGACTAAGGCAAGTCCTCTTTCTCTTTTGTTTGCTGGCTCAGACCGTTGCTGAGCAGGTTTATATTGTAGCCGAAGAAAGAGACAGTGGTTCTTTTGTAGCCAATCTAGCCACAGACCTAGGACTGGGGATAAGAGAGCTGTCCTTGAGGAGGGCTCGGGTCATTCTTAACAGTAACAAAAACCATTTTCAGCTGGACCTCCAGACTGGAGATTTGCAAGTAAATGAAAAACTGGATCGGGAAGAACTGTGTGGCTCAACTGATCCTTGTGAGCTGCAATTCCAGGTGTTACTGGAAGATCCCCTGGAGGTATTTAGGTTTAAACTTATGGTCCAGGACGTAAATGACAATTCTCCTGTGTTCCCAGAAGCAAAAATGACTTTGAAAATCCTAGAAAACACTCCTCCAGGAACTGTATTTCCATTGAAAAATGCACAAGATTTGGACGTGGGCATCAATACCATTCAAAATTATACCATCAATCCCAACCCGCACTTGGACGTTCTCACTCACAGAGGCAGAGAGGGCAGAAAATATCCGGTGCTGGTTCTGAACAAAGCCCTGGACCGGGAGGAACAGAATGAGCTCAGATTAACGCTGATGGCAGTAGATGGGGGAGCCCCGCCGAGAAGCGGGACAGCCCTGGTTGTTGTTGATGTCCTGGACATCAATGACAATGCCCCTGAGTTCACTCAGCCGCTCTATCAGGTGAAGATCCCAGAGAACAGCGCCATAGGATCCCTTGTAGTGACTGTTTCCGCAAGAGATTTAGACACAGGGGTGAACGGCAATGTATTTTACTCATTTTTTTATGATGATGAAGACATTTCCAAGACATTCGAAATTAACGAAATTACAGGAGAAATTAAAATAATTAACATATTAGATTATGAAAAAACTGTGTCATATGAAGTGGATATTAAAGCTTCTGATGGGGCAGGTCTTTCTGGGAAATGCACTGTCAACATTCAGGTGCTAGACATCAATGATAATGCTCCAGAAATGAAGATAGCAAAAATTATAAGTCATATCCCAGAAAATGCCCCAGAAACCACGGTAGCGCTTTTCAGCATTCAAGACCGAGACTCTGAGGAAAATGGGAGGATGATTTGCTCTATTCCAGATGATGTGCCTTTCTTCCTAAAACCCTCAGTGGAGAACTTCTACAATCTAATGGCAAACGCGGCGCTGGACAGGGAGGCCAGGGCCCAGTACACCATCACCATCACCGTCTCTGACCTGGGCACGCCCAGGCTGCAGAGCCAGCACAACGTGACAGTGCACGTGTCCGACGTCAACGACAATGCGCCCACCTTCAGCCAGGCCCTGTACACCCTGTTCGTGCTGGAGAACAACAGCCCCGCGCTGCACATCGGCAGCGTGAGCGCCAGCGACAGGGACGCGGGCACCAACGCCCAGCTCACCTACTCGCTGCTCACACAAGACCAGGCGACGCAGCAGCCACAGGGACAGGGACCGGAGCAGGTGGACGTGGGCGCGCTGGTGGCCCTGGACGCGGCGAGCGGGCAGCTGTTCGCGCTGCGCGCGCTCGACTACGAGACCCTGCGCGCCTTCGAGTTCGGCGTGCGCGCGTCGGACGGCGGGTCTCCGGCGCTGAGCGGCGAGGCGCGCGTGCGCGTGGTGCTGCGCGACGCCAACGACCACGCGCCGCGCGTGCTGTACCCGCCGCGCAACGGCTCTGCGGCGGGCGCGTGCCCCGAGCTGGTGCCGCGCGGCGCCGAGGCGGGCTACGTGGTGAGCAAGGTGGTGGCGGTGGACGGCGACTCGGGCCGCAACGCGTGGCTGTCGTACGAGCTGCTGCAGGCCACGGAGCCCGGGCTGTTCGGCGTGTGGGCGCACAGCGGCGAGGTGCGCACGGCGCGGCCTGTGAGCGAGCGCGACGCGCCGCAGCAGCGGCTGCTGGTGCAGGTGCGCGACCACGGCGAGCCGCCGCTCTCGGCCAGCGTGGCGCTGCACGTGCTGCTGGTGGACGGCTTCTCGCAGCCCTACCTGCCGCGGCCCGACGCGCCGGCGGGGCAGGCGGGGCAGGCGGGTGTGGGGGGTTTGGGGGGCGAGGCTGGGCAGGCGGAGGCGCTGACGGTGTCGCTGGTGGTGGCGCTGGCGGCGGTGTCTTCTCTGTTCTTGGCGTCTGTGTTGGCGCTGGTGGCCGCGCGGCTGTGTGGGCGCGGCGGGGCCGGGGCTGGGGCTGTGGCGGTGGGGTCAGGGTGTGGGGTGTCTGTGGCCGAGGGCCGCTTCTTCCCTGCCGGGGCTGGGTGTGGTGGTGTGGGTCCTCTGGTGGACGTGGGCGGGGCGGGGACGCTGTCGCAGAGCTACCAGTATGAGGTGTGTGTGAGTGGAGGGAGTGGGACTGGTGAGTTCAAGTTCATGAAGCCGATTATACCTGATCTCCCGCCACCATTCTCTGGGAAGGAGTTGGAGGAGAACCCTGATTTTCGGAATAGCTTCCCATTCAGTTAAGCATTAGGTTCATCCACTAAACCCTGCTTGCCTGATTGGAATTCTCTTTTGAATACGCGTTATTAATGCATGTTGGCGTCCTTGAGTTCAATTTCATGAAACCGATTGTCCCAGTTATCAGGGTACTGTGAATCATTTGGAGGAAAATTCCACATTTGTAAATCGTTTGGACACAATTAACAATCTGTTAATTTTCTGGGAATGTATGGTGAATTTTATGTTGTTTTTAGGGTCTTTTGTTGCAATTCAAATGGAATATTTAGTGCACTGCATTAGTTTCCTGCTTGGGAAATTAGCGCTTTTCTTTTTTTAAAAAAAAAAAAAACATTTTATTTAGTTTCATTGGAAAGATAGTTTTACAGAGAGTAGAGACAGAGAGAATGATCTTCTGTCAGCTGGTTCACTCCCCAAGTGGCCACAATGGCCAGAGCTTATGGAATCACAAACCAGGAGCCAGGAACTGCTTCCAGGTCTCCCACCCGTCTGCAGCATCTGTAGGCTTTGTGCCATCTTCTGCTTTCCCAAGCCACAAGCACAGAGCTGAAAGGGATCAGGAACTGGTGCCATTTCGTGCCCTGAATGTGCATGGTGAGGATTTAGCCATTGAGCCATCATGCCTGGGCCAGCACAATAGACTCTTATTGGAGTTTATCTGAACGGACTTGTATCATTGATGCTTGAAGGTGACAGTGACTTTTCAATTTTATTTATTACTGAAAATAGTAATTCAGTTCATCAATTTTCCAATATTAGTTCAAGCTTTGCAAGTTGATTTAAAGATATTCCCAGTCCCATTCTCTGGACGTGGTCTAGGAACTTTTCAAAATTTTCGATGCCTGAAATACTAATGTCTTGTACTTCTCTTTCAGTTGGGACTGTACTTTCCCTTCATTTGCAGGCTTTTTCCCCATAGTTGTATTAAATGGGAACAAATTTGAAGTCTTTCCGATTTTTCATATCAGCCTTCAAATAGCATGTGGAAAAATAGAACTAATAGATATGGTTTTTTTGGTGCAGAAGAGTGAAAATTATGAAGCTTTTAAAAATGATACCCATCTTCAATTTTTGACAAAAAAAGATTATTAATTTGATTTTCAGACAGAAAGATTTCTTCCATTTTCTAGTTCACTCTCCACATACCTGCAGCAGGCAGGGCAGGCCAGGCTGAAGGCAGAGCCAGGAGCTACATTTGCATCTGCCACGTGGGTGCAGGAGGGTGCAAGCTAGCACTTAGGCTAACTTCTGATGCACATTCCAGGCACATTCACAAGCAACTGGATTGGAGGTGAAGCAGCCAAGACTGGAACTGCAGCCCATATGGAATGCCTGTGCTACAGGTGACAGCTTAATGTGTTATGCCACAATGCCAGCCTCTATAAGATGCGTTTCCTACCAACTTTTTGGAAACTGCACATTTTGGTATTATTAGATGGTTATTACATTATCTCACACTTAGACTCAGATTCCTTTGGTAACATCTGTCTAGTTCACCCCATCTTTCCATCTCTTTGATTTTAGATGATTGATCCAGACAGTAGAGACTACACTGACCCATACTAGGTCCACTCTGAGTCTTTTTTGAAAAATGGTTTAGAAACTAAACATAATACCATCTCTCTGTTGGGAACTCAACTATAAAGTGGTATCACACTTAGCTAAGTATGTAGAAAGACTACAGAAAGTCAGCTCACCGAGATTCAAGAAGGAATGAGAACGTCAAAGAGGACTTCATTGTAGATTTCACAGTCCATTCCAAATCTGCTTTCTCCCTGAAGTTTTTGGAAAATCAGTATGTGTTCCTATTTCTTCCTATTAATACACCTTAATTGAGGGTTTTTTTCCTTGTTAAAATCATGTTTAGATTTTCTTGCATGTATTTGTAGGTTAGTCCTTACGATTACTTTGAGATTTTTTAATTTGTGGATTTCATATTATTAAACATTTATGACATTAAATGATACTGCACAATATTTGCATGCCTATAAGGGAAATGAAGAACTTTTGTTGAAATATGGAATTTTATTTTTGAAATGCAGAGTGATGCAGAGAAAAGGATAAACAAGAGAAAGACTTGGCTAGGCAGAGCCAGGTGTCCGGAACATCCACCTAGTTTCCCCGTTTCCCGTGGGGGTGGCCCAGGCCCAAATTCTTGTCCTTCTGCTTTCTCAGGAATAGGTGCTGTAGGCTGTGGTCTGTTGGTGTCACAAGTGGTGGCTTAACATACTGTGCCACATGTCAGTTTCTAAAATACACAATTTTGAAGAGAAAAGAAATTTTCCAATGATACAGTTTTCAGAATGTTACATAGAAATTTCTAGAAAATTCTATGTGATTGTCCCTTTCAACATTAGTAGCAGCATTGAAAAATAACAGACAATATAAAATATATTAAAGAGATGTATACCTTATGTGTAGCATAATAACCATGTTATTTTCTGGTTTGTTATATATATGTATGTATGTATTTGTTTACTGCACATGAGGATCTTTTCCCATTTAATGAAAAGATTTTGAGTTATTTCAAATTATTACTCAAATTGGCACAGAAAATACCTGCCTGGGAACATGATGTGTTTATTCAGTTTATATAAAGAGCTAGAATCCCAGCTAAAGAGGATCCATCTGTCAGAATCTTTTAAAATGTGATTAATTCATTGATCATTCAACAAATGTTTGAGTATCTGTTATGTGCCATGGATTATTTTAAATTCTGAGACTACAGCAGGGAACAAAACAACTTTCTAGTTCTGAGGGGTGACAAGAAAATGTGTGTTGCACATTTATGGCATGTCAGCTGGACAATGCTGGGGGGAAAGGACAACATATACAGGAAATATCTTCACATGAATTTCCCCATGTTTCCCACAGTTCATAAAACTGAACACTGATGTTAGGTAAAAGGAGTGTCATGCCTGGAATGAACTGGCAGCCCTTCCCTTGATGTAACCCAGTGGCAACCATAATTCTGCTAACATAGGCTGCCGAGAATAAGAGAATCCAGACCACTTAATCCTGTTTGAATGTGATAATTTTAAGAAATCATGGGCTACATGATGGCCATAGTGTATTCTTTCACTTCTCAGTTTCCAACAGAACCTACAGACTCTAGAAAGGTAGAATCCATAGTTGGATTATTTGTGAATGTATAACAGAACCTGGTATACAACTTTCAATAAAACTACTTTAAATTAAGGAAGAATAATTTTAATGGCTTGATTTAGTGGTTACAGCATTTTCCCTGCTTTCCAAACACCTAACACAAGAAATGATTACAAACACAGCATAAACTTCCTTAGCAATTAGTTTGAAAACAAAAAATAACGCATGGTGGCGCTGCAGGCTAAGGTTTCACAAGAAAAAAACTAGCAAACGCCACAGACTAATACTTCAGATCTTCAGCAGCTGAGAAAAACCTGGAAGCAGAGCTCCGACGAGTGAGTCTTCAGAGAGGGCTCCTCAGCTGCCCTTAGGAGCAGGTTATCGCCGGGCAAATCGAGCCCTGGCTTAATCCCAACGCACCCGGAGACCCTGTTGGCCCCTGTCGCTGGGCTGCCATGCGCAGAAGCAGAGAGATGGTGGCCGGAGGGGAGCCCATTCCTAAACAAAGGCAAGTCATGATTCTATTTCTTTTCCTGGGAGTAGCTTGGGGAGACCAGGGGCCCCACCGCTATTCCGTGATGGAGGAAACGGAGAAAGGCACCTTTGTGGCCGACCTCGCCCAGGACTTGGGGTTGGCAGTGAGGGAGCTAGCAGCGCGGGAAGCTCGGGTGGTCTCTGAGGACAACGAACCACGTTTGCAGCTTGATGTGCAAACGGGTCAGTTAATAGTAAACGGACAATTGGACCGGGAGGAGTTGTGTGGTCCCACGGAGCAATGTGTACTGAGTTTCCAAGTGGTCCTGAACAAGCCAGTGGAAGTATTTCCAGTTGAGCTCCTGCTAGAGGATGTAAATGATCACTCTCCCGAGTTTCCTGAGCCAGAAATGACCCTGAAAATCCGAGAGACCAGCCTCCCTGGGACCATGTTTCCTCTGAAAAGAGCCGAGGATATGGACGTGGGCAGGAACGGCGTCCAGAACTACAGCATTAGCCCCAACTCTCCTTTTCACGTCTCCACACGCCCCCGAGGCGACGGCAGAGCATACCCGGAGCTGGTGTTGGACAGAGAGCTGGATCGTGAGGAGCAGGCGGAGCTGCTGCTGACGCTCACGGCGCGGGATGGCGGCTCTCCACCCCGTTCTGGCACTGCACACATCCGCGTTCTGGTCCTGGACGTAAATGATAATGCCCCCGAGTTCACGCAGACTCTCTACGAGGTGCAGGTGCCAGAAGATAGCCCCGAGGGCTCCATCGTGGTACAGGTCACCGCCAGGGATTTAGACGCAGGAACTTACGGAGAGATATCCTACGCCCTTATTTATAGCTCGCAGGAGATACGCAAAACCTTTGAGTTGAACAGCCTTTCAGGAAAAGTTCGACTCATCAGAAAGCTAGATTTTGAGACAGTCTCCTCATACGAGTTTGACATAGAGGCATCTGACGGAGGGGGGCTTTCAGGAAAATGCTCTGTCTCCATTAAGGTGCTGGATGTTAACGACAATCCTCCGGAAATAACCATCTCATCGCTTACTAGCTCTGTTCCTGAAAACTCTCCGGAGATAGAAGTGGCGCTGTTTAGGATTCGAGACAGAGACTCTGGGGAAAATGGGAGGATGATTTTCTCCATCCAGAACGATGTGCCTTTCAAGCTGAAACCCACCTTGGACAACTTCATCACCCTGGTAACGGAAGGACCGCTGGACAGGGAGGCCAGGGCCCAGTACACCATCACCATCACCGTCTCAGACCTGGGCACGCCCAGGCTGCAGAGCCAGCACAACGTGACAGTGCACGTGTCCGACGTCAACGACAACGCGCCCACCTTCAGCCAGGCCCTGTACACCCTGTTCGTGCTGGAGAACAACAGCCCCGCGCTGCACATCGGCAGCGTGAGCGCCAGCGACAGGGATGCGGGCACCAACGCCCAGCTCACCTACTCGCTGCTCACGCAAGACCAGGCAACGCAGCAGCCACAGGGACAGCAGCAGGGGCAGGGGCAGGGGCAGGGACAGGGGCAGGCTCGGCCGCAGGTGGACGTGGGCGCGCTGGTGGCCCTGGACGCGGCGAGCGGGCAGCTGTTCGCGCTGCGCGCGCTCGACTACGAGACCCTGCGCGCCTTCGAGTTCGGCGTGCGCGCGTCGGACGGCGGGTCTCCGGCGCTGAGCGGCGAGGCGCGCGTGCGCGTGGTGCTGCGCGACGCCAACGACCACGCGCCGCGCGTGCTGTACCCGCCGCGCAACGGCTCTGCGGCGGGCGCGTGCCCCGAGCTGGTGCCGCGCGGCGCCGAGGCGGGCTACGTGGTGAGCAAGGTGGTGGCGGTGGACGGCGACTCGGGCCGCAACGCGTGGCTGTCGTACGAGCTGCTGCAGGCCACGGAGCCCGGGCTGTTCGGCGTGTGGGCGCACAGCGGCGAGGTGCGCACGGCGCGGCCTGTGAGCGAGCGCGACGCGCCGCAGCAGCGGCTGCTGGTGCAGGTGCGCGACCACGGCGAGCCGCCGCTCTCGGCCAGCGTGGCGCTGCACGTGCTGCTGGTGGACGGCTTCTCGCAGCCCTACCTGCCGCGGCCCGACGCGCCGGCGGGGCAGGCGGGGCAGGCGGGTGTGGGGGGTGTGGGGGGTGTGGGGGGCGAGGCTGGGCAGGCGGAGGCGCTGACGGTGTCGCTGGTGGTGGCGCTGGCGGCGGTGTCTTCTCTGTTCTTGGCGTCTGTGTTGGCGCTGGTGGCCGCGCGGCTGTGTGGGCGCGGCGGGGCCGGGGCTGGGGCTGTGGCGGTGGGGTCAGGGTGTGGGGTGTCTGTGGCCGAGGGCCGCTTCTTCCCTGCCGGGGCTGGGTGTGGTGGTGTGGGTCCTCTGGTGGACGTGGGCGGGGCGGGGACGCTGTCGCAGAGCTACCAGTATGAGGTGTGTGTGAGTGGAGGGAGTGGGACTGGTGAGTTCAAGTTCATGAAGCCGATTATACCTGATCTCCCGCCACCGTTCTCTGGGAAGGAGTTGGAGGAGAACCCTGATTTTCGGAATAGCTTCCCATTTAGTTAAGCATTAGGTTCATCCACTAAACCCTGCTTGCCTGGTTGGAATTCTTTTTTGAATACGCGTTATTAATGCATGTTGGCACCTTTTGTGACGTGTATAGGATGGAACCTTTGGAGTGTTGTACTCTGTTGTTCCCCAACCCCATTTTCCCCAATTCCAGCCCTGAACTCAGACGTGATTAGAAGGTATGGAGCCTTTCAGAGCAATTGAAATATCTAGATTTTCCTCTTTGGCTTTATTAGTTTATGTTCCTAGCCTTTCCCTTTCTTTTTAATATAAGATTTATCAAAATCTTCTGTTCTACTTTTCTCAGTATACTTTCTTTTCGTAGTCATATTGTTTTGCTGGTCTCAGTGACATAATCATTTTCCCAGTTGTATCATTTTTAATTATATCCAGAAGTATGTATTTCTGACTGAATTTTAATATTCTTACAGGGTAATAAGAAAATTGATCCCTCCTAATATAATTCTGATTTTTAAAAGGGCATTTCCAACTATATGAAGAAACCAAAGATATCTGACTCCTTTTCTCACAGTTTATTTTGGAAATATTCTTGTTTTTTGTTGTGCAGCCAGGGCTTCTGAGTATCCCCACTTCTGTTTGCTGTGGAAGCAGATCTCGGTCACTCACTGCCCATTTCTTCCAAGCTACCTGTTCAGTTTTGTAATGGGCCACAGAATTGATCATGTCCACCTCTTCACTACATCTTTCCACTGAGTTGTATTGATCTGTTTCTTCCTTATTAAATTTGGAGACACACAAAGCCTTTTACTTTTCACCTCACTATTCCTCTCCAGACTAGTAATGCTCTTGTTGATAGGACATTCATAAACACTCTGTTGTTTTCTCATGCACGTCACGGTTTTAACCTTATCAGACAAGAGACTCAGTTCTTTCCTAAACATTCCCATGTATGTTCTGCTGAAGTGGCTGAGGTATCTGAGTCATCTGTCTTTATTTTCAAACAACTGCTTGAATGTCTGACTAATCGTTTTAAGGCAAAAAAAAAAAAAAAAATGTTGTCCTGCTGCAAATTTGGCTTTCTTTCTACAACATGCATTCCTGAGAGTGCATTTCCTAAGTTCAGGGCTTTGTGCTGATGCTGTAATGAGATCCAGTGTTGGAAGTCTTGGAATGGGTGAGAGTCATTTCACTTGGAATGAATGTGATTCATTGAAGGCCAGAGGGAATGTTGTGGAAGGGAGAAAGGATGGCCTCCCCAAAGTCTTCTTGTCTCACTACCCAGAACCTGTAAATTTGTTAATGTATCAAAGAAGAGTTGAAGTTGCCGGTAGAACTAATGTTGGTAGTCAGCTGACCAGAAAATGAGGAGGATCGCCTAGCTTATCCAGATGGGCCCAATGTGATTACAAGAGCCTTTAGTAAGTGGAAGCGGAAGATGGAAAGAGTGCCAATATGATGTGACAAGAAAAAGACCCACTGGTCCTGGCTAACATTGAACCAGGAGACACAACGACAGGAACACAAACAGCCTCTAGAAGTCAGATTAGACAAATCAGTGGGTTGTTGTTTAGAGCCTCTGGAAAGAAACACATCTGTTAACACCTTAATGTTCCCAAAGTTCAGCACTTAGACCTCCAGAACTGTAGGGCAGTAAATTTACTTCTAACATTGTTTGGGTAAGTTTTTTTTTGCAGCAGCAATAGGAGAGTAATATGAGTGGTCACTAACACGATTTCTCTTTTTAAATATTTATTTTTATTGGAAAGACGGATTTACAGGGAGAAGAAGAGACAGATTTTTCCATCTGTTGGTTCATTCCACAAATGGTCCAGTGTCTGGAGCTGAGCTGATTTGAACCCAAAAGCCAGAAGCCACAGCCAGGTCTCTCATGTGTGGGCCATCCTCTTCTGCTTTCCCAGGCTATAGGCAGGGAGGTGCATTGGAAGTAGAGCAGTGGCCATTTGGGATGCTGGTACTTGCAGATGGAAGATTAGCCAGTTGAGCCATCAAGCTGCCCTCCCCCACATGTGTACTGCTTAATTTTTAAATTCTATTAAATTTACATGGTTGAGAGGTATGCACGCCCTTGTCTGCCTCTGATTATTGTGAGGTGAGTCAGGTATGGATGAAGGTAGATGGTACACATTTCAGTCTTTTTTTTTTTTCCCTTGCATCCTGAAAGGAACTCACATGAGTTCTATTCCCATTTGTTGTTTAACTTCTCCTACTCCAGTCAAAATATTAATAGATCCATAATCCCTGCAGGTACGAGTGTCATATGACTCTTACTGCCAATGATAGAAAGCTGATTAAAGGACAGGGCTTTAGAAAAAGGATTTCCAAAAGGCTAGTCAGAAGTGGTATGTTATTTAGGGTTTTTATTATTGTTCATTGATTTTTTTTCTTGCAACCTTTCCTTCACGGATACTATAGTAATACTGGAGTTGAAGCAGCCACTTGGAGCCATGAGAAGAAACCACAAGATAAAGTCCTGATACCAAGTATAATTAAGTAGAAAGCTCCCGAGTTTCTGCTAGTGTCATTGGACTGTTCAGACAATCTTTTTTTTTTTTTTAAGATTTTTTATTATTTTTTCATTGGAAAGGCAGATATACAGAGAGGAGAGACAGAGAGGAAGAACTTCCATCCGATGATTCACTCCCCAAGTGAGCTGCAACGGTCGATGCTATGCCGAGCCGAAGCCAGGAGCCTCTTCAGGGTCTCCCACGCGGCTGCAGGGTCCCAAAGCTTTGGCCCATCCTCCACTGCTTTCCCAGGCCACAGGCAGGGAGCTGGAAGGGAAGTGGGGCCACGGGGATTAGAACCGGCGCCCATATGGGATTCCAGGTGTGCAAGGCGAAGACCTTAACCACTTGCGCCACCATGCCGGGCCCAATCTTTTTTTTTTTTTTTTTAAGATTTATTTTCTTTTTATTGGAAAGGTGGATGTACAGAGGAGAGACAGAGAGGAAGATCTTCCATCCAATGATTCACTCCCCAGGCAGCTGCAACAGCTGGAGCTGAGCCAATCCGAAGCCAGGAGCCTCTTCCAGGTCTCCCACGCTGGTGCAGGGTCCCAAAGCTTTGGCCCATCCTCGGCTGCTTTCCTGGGCCACAGGCAGGGAGCTGGATGGGAAGCGGGGCCATGGGGATTAGAACCGGTGCCCATATGGGATCCCAGAGCGTTCAGGGCGAGGACCTTAACCACTACACCATCACGCTGTGACCTGTTCAGAGAATCTTAAACTACTTTCTCCCAGCCTTTCTGTTATGTGATAGAAATAGACCCTATTAACAACTGTAGTTGTGTTTTCTGTTCATTGCAAATGTTTGAAGCTGACACAACCAGTCCCTCTCACAAGTAAGGCTTATTTCGTTTCCTGACTAGATCTAATGCTATTGTACATATGTGATGTGCTTATCAGAAAAATGTGTTTTTCCTTTAGATGTTATCAAGGGAAAGTTTTCTGAACTTGTATTCATATAGTCAGTTCTAAATCTGGGAAACATGCAAAAGTAATTGAACTTTCACCAGACTGTTCCTGGCTAGTTGAATTCTCATATATTGAATTTGATTGGGACAATAAAGCTTTTTTTTTTCTAAGTGAACCAGTAAATTCCAGGCCTGCGTTGAAACCTATGTCCATAGTGTCTTGAGAAAGAGGGCTATGTTTTTGCAGCAGTCCAGGGGGGAATTAGCAGGGCCAAAAACTGTACTTAGTAAAATAAGTCATGTATAATCTTCATAAGTTTATGTTTAAATATATTGGTGAAGTATGACTTGTAGAAGGATCAGAAACAAATTATACTGTTAACACTGAATGCCCAGAAATAGTCTTGATTGTGAATGACAAATCACAGTTGTGTTTTTAAAAAATATTTTTTTAATTTAAAAGGCAGAGTTTATGGGGAGAGGGGAGAGAGAGAGAAGGAAAGAGAAAGCGTGCTTCCATCCACTGGTGATCTGCAGCCAGGAACCAGGAGCTTCTTCTGTGTCTCACACATGGGCGACAGGAGCCCAAGCACTTGTGCCATCTTCTGCTGCCTTCCCAGACTATTAGCAGGGAGCTGGATCGGAAGTAGAACAGCTACAACTTGAACCATTGCCTCTATGGAGTATCAGTTGTTGCAGGCAACAGCTTTACAATACCAATCCCAAAGTCAATGCTTATTAATGAATGAGTTAAGAACAGTGAGTGAAATTTCTTGGAAGGCACCAAGATACTCTTCCACCAGTACAAATAGCACCACATATTTTGCCTATTTTATTCCCCAAATTTTTCGGATTTCCTTAAGTCCCAACTTGTATTTCATAGTATAAAATTAGGACTGTTGAGGCTTTTCCTTTATTTCCCTTACCTGCCTTTATTCTCCCCAAACTAGGTTTGGGATATATAGATATTTGTGGTCACATGACTGAATTATCAGATGGTACGTGCTTTATTCCAGTAATTAGAAAGTAGAGGAGAATCTGACTTCTTTCCACAAATATTTCAGTAGTGGAAAAAAGTTGAGGATTTCCCCTTTGCTCTATTTTTTATATAATGAAAGTAGTCTGTTGCATTTCTTTAGTATCTTCTAGAAACTACTGTTGATGATGTCATGATGCTATTTCTGTTCTAGTTCATTCTAGAACAAGCATAGAAATGATTCCTGATAGTTTCATTGATCAGGTTTTGGATACATTGCTTAAAATCCCTGAGAGGAAAGACTTAGGAAGAAGATGGTTTATTTAAATATGTCCCTGAGGGGGGAGCAAGGTAGCCTAGTGGCTAAGTTCCTTGCCTTTTATGCTCCAAGATCCCATATGGTGACCGGTTCTAATCTTGGCTGCTCCACTTCCCATCTAGCTCCCTGCTTGTGGCCTGGGAAAGTAGTCAAGGACAGCCCAAAGCACTGGAACCCTGCAACCGCTTGGGAGTCCTGGAAGAAGTTCCTGGCTCTTGGCTTCAGCTCGGCTCAGTTCCAGCCATTGCAACCACTTGGGGAATGAATCAGTGGAAGGAAGAGCTTTCTTCCTGTATCTTGTTCTCTCT